TGTGGAAACAGGCCCTTCGGCCCAACAAGTCCACAGCGAACCTCAGAGCATCCCAGCCAGACCTATAACCCACCTAATCTACCCCTCCCTGAACACGACAGGCAATTTAGCATGGCCAATCCACCTAACCTGCACATCTTTGGACTGTGGGAGGAAACCAGAGCACCCAGAGGAAACCCACGCAGACGCGGGGAGAATGTGCAAACTCCACTCAGGCAGTCGTCCAAGGCTGGAATCGAACCCGGGTCCTGGCACTGTGAGGCAGCAGTGCTAACCACTGAGCCACCATGCCGCCAAAGTGCTTTCTCTCAGTACTTTCACCCAACTTTCTCCAAATATGCTTATTCCAAGGTAACTGTTAATCTCTCCTTTTCTGTATGTTCAGCACTTGCTCTGAATGTTATCGCCTCATCCCTGGTACATGCCGCACCTTCCCACCAACACCATCCCCGAATATCCAGACATGGCATCAGAAGTAAAAGAAAATCGCCTGCCAACACTACCTAATTGCACATGGCATTTCAGAAAAAATAAGATAAAGCTATCGAAGTATTCACTAGTTTTGAATTTGATGACGATGACTTGGATGTATTGAACGAGAGATTTTGGGAACACTGTGAGCCAGGAAAGGATATGACGTATACAAGGCACATTTTTCATTTGAGTGCAAGAACACCCAATCAAACAGGTGTGCATGTGACTGCTTTATTTTTCTCAAGTCAAGGCCTGTGAGTTTAATCAGATTACCGATTCACTGATGTGGGACACAATTGCGAATGACCAAGTCAGTGGCATATTACTCCGAAAGCCAGTTCTCACATTAGCCAGACCAATAGATATTTGCAGATCTAGTGAAATGAGCCAGAGTTAAATAAAAATGCTAACATCAAGATGCAGAATTGCCTGTCCACAAAGTACATTCTTGCTCTAAGAACTCTACAAGCTTTTCAGCACCTGAGACGTGTTGTGCTCAGGGACTGGCACAATATCTCTGCCCTTTGATGTCTCAACTAGAACCTAATGTTTCACAGTGCTCCTGTCTTGCCTGGTTGTTTATCGCAGGCATAAGCCAGGCAGCTTATCATTGTTGTTACCAGCAGACAGTCAAGGGCTGGTCAGCAGCTGAGGCAACAAACGCATGTGTTTCAACCAAATGGTCACATCTCAAAGTCTCAGGGAAACAGTTCTCAGTCAGGGCAAGGGAGACAGGATTCAGGCAGGAGATCCTGACACAACATGTCCAAGGAATCATTTGATATCAGCTCAGGGACTTTATCACAGTCAGCCATTTGGGGCAATCAGGATCAGGGAATCTGTATCACTACAGTACAGAGAGGTGGACACACTCACTACTGGTTACATCCTCAAAATGCTCCAGTAGATTTGCTGAGCCTGAATTATGTTCATCAATCCAAGCTGACCCTGTCCGTTCCTGCCATAAGCGGTCAGTTTGATTAAATTCTCAAGGTGTTCGGGGGGCACTGCAGTACTGGTGAAGCTGGGGAAGTCACTACTGGGCGGTGGGGACAGCCTGCTTGGAGGAAGAGTGGACATTAATTGTGGAATCAGTGGGAAAGTCAACATATTAGTGACAGAGGGAGACAAAGGACGTGGGTTGTTGTGGAAGTACAAGTCGTCATTGTTCACTGCCATCATGGTTTTGATGTGGGGAGAGTGCAGTATATGGCGAAGCTGTAGGGCTGGGACTCCGGGTTGGGTAATGTTGTGAGGTAAAGTTGTAAATGAAAGAGCTGCGTGGGAAAGTGCAGAAGCTCACGGACTCGACAAGGAAGAGACTTGTGCAAGGAAGAAAGGAATACTGAGTACAAGATGTAATGTTGCAAATTTATAAGGCTTTAGTGAGGCTACTCTGAGAGTATTGTGTTCAACTCTGGTCACCACATTACGGGAAGGCTGTGGAGGTTTTGGAGAGGGTGCAGAAGAGGTTTACTAGGATGCTGCTTGGATTACAGGGTATGAGCTATAAGGAGACATTAGGAGAACTCGGGTTGTTTTCTCTGGAGCAGTGGAGGCCGAGGAAGACTTCATAGAAGTCTACAAAATTATGAGATGCATAGCTGGAATTGAAAGTCAGAACCTTTTTCCCAGAGTGGAAATGTCTAATACTAAGGGGCATGCATTTAATGTGAGAGAGGGGCAAGTTCAAATGAGACATAGATCAGTTGGAATGTTGTGCAGAGAAATGGCATTTGAAGTTCAGTTTGAGGTGATGCAGTTTGGGAGGTTCACGTCCAAAGCTCCCTGAAATAGCAACACAAGTAGATAAGATGGTGAAGAATTTCGCTTTCATGGTACACAGCATTGGGATATGGTCAACTTTGATATCTGGTTCATAAGTGAGATGAGGTATTTTTTCAAACATGTCAGAGCACGCATTGTTCCTACGAGAACAACTATGGTTCCATTCATGCATTTTTTTTTTTGTTTCAAACATGAAATGGCCACAACTTGATCAAAAGTGAAAGTGACCATCAACCAGTTTGAACTGTCAGTTATCAAATAAATTAAGACAGAGATAAATGTATTTGCAGGAGTTTTTTGAATTTATTAAAAATTAATTTATTCAGGGGATGATGACATCACTGGATAAGAATGGCAGTTTCCTTCCCTAAAGGACATAGGTGAACAGATGGGCTTTTCCAACAATGACAATGGATTCACGGTCATCATTAGATTCTTGTTTCCAGATATTTTTTCTACCTCAAATTCCACCATCTGGAATGGTGGGATTCAAACCTAGGTCCCCAGAATGTTATCTGGGTCTCTGGGGAGTGATGGACAGCAGACTAAACAGAAAATATACACTAGAGATCATACAATGTCTTGGTTTATGTATTCATCATGCGATCCGTCACTGCTCTGGACACCAGGTAAAGATCTGAATAGACTGCATTTCCCCCTGGACAGAGTCACAATGGTCACCAGGTTTCATAGCAGATTGGGAAAATGCCATCAGAGATATAGTACATGACTCATCCCAATCTTTTGTTTGGATTTAAAACTTTCCTTTGATTGTTATCCACAAAATGAAAGATTATATTGTTTCCAATAAACAAATATCTATTAAAAGTTGAAACATGTCTGTGCAGAGCAATAGAATCCGTAATTGTAAAGGTGTGCAGACATATTGACCAGGCATAACTGACAAATAAAGGGCCATCGAGATCATCTTAGAATCCCTACAGTGTGGAAGATGGCCATTCAGTCCATTGAGTCCACACCAACCCTCCAAAGAGCATCCCACCCAGTCTCACACACTACCCTATCCCTGCATTTTGCACACAAGACACTATGGGCAATTTAGCATAGTCAATCTACCTAACTTGCAAATTTTTGGACTGTGGGAGGAAACCAGAGCACCTGGAGGAAACCCACGCAGACACAGGGAGAATGTCCAAACTCCACACAGTCGCCCAAGGCGAGAATCAAACCCAGGTCCCCGGTGCTGTGATGCAGCAGTGCTGACCACTGTGCCACCATGCAGCCTCGAGAGATCTATGTATAATTTTCTCAATTATAGAGCTTTTCACACTAAATGTGAGCAATTCAGCATATTCAAGAAAGGATTCACCTCCATGTCAGATTCTTACAGTCAGCCTTGTTTTAGTCTATCCTAGTGAACCAAGAACACCCTCTCTGAAATGAGAAGCAGATTCATCATTTCAAGTTCAGTTGACTCTGAGTGACTTTGAACTCGAAACATTAATTCTGTGTTTGTCTCTACAGATGCCAGGTCTGAGGAGTTTCCACACCATTTCCTGTTTTACTTTGATCTGCAGCATCCTCAGTACTTTACTTTTCTTTCTGATTTTGAGTCTAGTTTGCACTCTTGTACAATTGCTCCCAGCATCTTTACCATCCCCAGGATGAGGATCAGCACCTTTACTCTCCCAGCACAGGGATCAGCATCTTTACTGTTCCCAGAGCAGGGATCATCACATTTTTTCTGTGCACAGGTCAGATACTAGTATCTTTCATACCCAAGGGAGGAAAATCACCTTTATTTTGCAGGCAAAATTTGTGGATTAGAGTCCAGATGTAAAGATTAAAAGTACCCTGATTTAGTACCTGACAGTGAGTTTTTTTCATTGAATGGGGCGACAGTCACTGATGTCTCATTCTTTCACAGCTCCATGTATTCCTAATTGAGACAGTCTAAGCAGACAGATCCACAGTGAACCAAAAATCAAGATTCTGCAGATGTTGGAAATCCAGTCTCAAAACAGAAACTGTTGGAAACACTCAGCAAGAGAAACAGTTTTGGAAGAGAAATTTAGTAAAAATGTGTGTTGCTAACCTTTTACCTGAACTGGACAATATTAGTTTTGAATAGTTTATAAACTAGGACTGTGTCATGGAAAAGGAGACTGGAGTGCAGGCTTGATGGCGAATGGCCAATTCCTACCGCTAAATTTGATATGGAAATGCCAATCATGGACTGGAGTGGAAAAAGTCAAAGTCACATGACACCAGATTATAGTCCAACAGGTTTATTTGAAATCACAAACTTTCAGAGAGCTGCTCCTTCTGCAGGTGGAGTCACCTGATAAAGGAACAAGCAGTCTGAAAGCTTCTGACGTCAAATAAACCTGTTGGACTATAATTCTGGTATTGTTTGACTTCTGACTTTGCTCCTAACTAACATGTTTGTACGAAAGAATAATGTTTTTGCAAGCAGTTCGAAGGCTGGAGTGACGAAATGACAAAGCTCAAAGTCCATCACAATGATGGTACAAGGTAACATTGTCTATAATGAGAAGTTAATAAACAAATGGGCTAGGAAGAGAAACAAAAGTCAGGCCCAGAGACAGCAAAATGTGAACAGCATTGGCAGTACCTGCTCTCGGACAGAATGGGTGACACAGTTATTGCCCCTGACATTTTAATCATGCATGTTGAGTGTGGAAACGTCACCAGAGGGACCAGGTGTCCTTGGATACATATGACAGAACGTAACAGAAGATGCAGCAACAAATGGCGAACGGTAGGTAAGCTTTTATTACAAAGGGCTTTGAAGAACGAGAGTGAACTCCCCTGGAGTACTGTGAGCAGGTTCCTCTGGTGAGATCTGCCCTGGAGGACTGCGAGCAGTTTTCAGGAGTAAGGTCTGCCCTAGAGGACTGTGAGCAGTTTTCAGGAGTGAGGTCTGCCCTAGAGGACTGTGAGCAGTTTCTGATGACTGAACTAATATGAATGATCTAGAGTGAGTGTAACAAAGGTTCTCCAGACTGGCTCCTGGGAAGAGGGGATTTCTGAGCAGAAGAAATTGAGTAAACAGGGCTTATATTCTGTGGGATAAAATCAAAGTCACCATAGTGCTACTGGACAACCAGGCTGTCTCTCATTCGAGACAGACAAATGGTGGTGGCTAACCTGAGAGTCAGGCAAGGGAAGAAGTCAAGAAGGACAGTCCTTCATGGTCACCTCAGCTGGTGAAGGAATTGAACCCACACTGTTGGTACCACTCCACATCATAAATCAGCCGTCCAGCCAACTGAACTAACTGATGACCAACCTGTAGGATATAGAGAAATAGAAGTGATCTCATTGAATTATCTTTTTTTTTTGGAAGATGCTTGATAGGAACAATGCTGAGTAAATGTTTCCTCTGGCTGGGAAATCTCGGACATGGGGTAATTGTCTCAGAATAAGGGTGTGACCATTTCAGATTGAGGTGAGGAGCAATTTCTTCACTCACATCACTGTAAATCTGTGGAATTCCCTATTCCAGGGAGCTGTAGATTCTTGGTCATCGCGGGTTTCCAAATCAGGCAGTGTTAGATTTTTGTACATCAGCAATGAGGGAAATGGGGATAATTTGAGAAGGTAGAACTGACGTAGATGACAGGAGGAACAAGGTCAAAGGGCTGAATGGATGTTTACTGTTTCTATTTCTGCATTTGATTCTAGCCTCAGGCTGCTGTCTAAATGCAGTTCGCACAGTCTCTGTGTCTGTGCAGGTTTCCTCCAGGTGCTCTGGTTTCCTGCCAGTCTAAAGCTGTGCAGGTTAGGGTGGATTGGCTGTGCTAAATTGCCCATAGTGCCCGGGTATGTGCAGACTATGTGGATTAGCCATGTTAAATGCAGTGTTACTGAGACTGGGTAGGACACTCTTCGTGATGGGCCAAATGGTCTGCTTTCACATTGGAGGGATTCTATGATCTCCAGAAACAAGCCGAAAAAACATGGTTTGGATATAGCTAACAGCAGAATTAAAACTCAATTAACACTTACTCAGAAATTTGCTGGTAGTTAACCAGTCCTGATGAACCAGGAAATCCCTTTTCACATACTGTGCAGGTGGACAGTCTTTAGTCAGTGTGACTGTGTCGATGTATGGTGACAATATGACTATTTCCAAGCTCTACCTTACAGATACACAACTGTTATTAACATTTTATCCACAATACCAGCACCTGTAATTGAGCAGGGATTAGTAACATCAGTCTATAACATGACCTCCCAACTCCTATACTCAATGCACTGACCAATAAATGCAAGCATAGCAAACATCATTTTCACTACCTTCTGTACCTGCAATCCACCTTCAAGGAACTGTACACCTGCACCCCAAGGAGTCTCTGTTGCGTAACAATGAGGCCCTGGGGACTGTTAAGTGTTTAAGTCCTGCCCTGATTTTCATTACCAAAACGCAATATCTCACACTTATCTAAACTAAACTTATTTCTGTCACTCCTTGGCCCATCGACCCATCTGATTACGTTCCCATTGTACTTGGAGGTAATCTTCTTTGCTGGGTACTACACCAACAATTTTAGTGTCATCTGCAAACTTACTAACCATTCCTCCAATACTCATTCCAAATGATTTATATCAATGACAAAAAGCAGTGGACCCAGCACTGATCCTTGCAGCACACTGCTGTTCATAGTCCTCCACACTGAAAAAAACAATCCTCCACCATGATTCTGTCTCCTACCTTCAAGCCAATTTTGTTTCAAATACCTAACTCTCCCTGGATTCCATTTGATCTAATCTTGCTAACCAGTCTATCATGTGGAGCTTTGGTGAATGCCTTGCTGAAGGCCATATAGACAATGTCCACAGCTTTGCCTTCATCAATCTTCTTTGTCACTTCTTCAAAAAACTCAATCAAGTTAGTGAGACAAGATTTCCCACTCACAAAGCCATGTTGACTATCCCTAATCAGTCCTTGCTTTTCCAAATACATGCAAATCCTGTCCCTCAGAATCCCCTCCAACAATTTACTCACCACTGACATCAGGCTCACTGGTTGATAGTTCCCTGGCTTTTCCTTAAAGAATGGCACCACATTAGCCACGCAGTCTTCTGGCACCTCACCGGTGTCTATCAGTGATACAAATATCTCAGCAAGGGGCCCAGCAATTACTCCCCTAGCTTCCCCCAGAGTTTGTGGATAACTCCTGATCAGGTGCAAGGGACCTATCCACCTTTATGCATTTTAAGACGTCCACCACGTGGTCCTCTGTAATATGGACACTTTTTATGACTCATATTTATGTCTCCAAGTTCTCCAGCTTCCATATCCTTCTCTGCAGTAAATACTAATGCGAAATACTCATTTACGATCTCAGCCTGCAGTTCCACTCAGAGACTGCCTTGTTGATCTTTAAAGGGGCCCTATTTTCTCCCTCGTTGCTTTTTTGTCCTAAATGTAGTTTCAGAATCTCTTGGGATTCCCCTTAACCCTATTTGCCAAAGATAGCTCATATCTCCTTTTCACCGTCCTGATTTCCCTCGAGTATACTCCTACTGCCCTTATACTTTGAGGGATTGACGCAATTCCTGCTGTCAATACCTGGCATGTGCTGCCTTCTTTTTCTTGACCAGAGCCACAATTTCTCGAGTCATCCAGTATCCCCTACACTTACCAGCCTTGCCCTTCACATGAACAGGAATATACTGTCTCTGGACTCTCCTTATTTTATTTTTGAAGGCCTCCCACTTTCCAAGCATCCCTTTACCTGTGAATTGCCTCTCCCGATCATCTTTTGGAAGTTCTTGCCCAATACCGTCAAAGTTGACCTTACTCCAATTTAGAACTCTGAAATTTATATTAAATATATAAGTTTTACATTTAAACTAATCCCATCTGCCTGCATCCGGCACACATCCCTCTAAACCTTTCTTAGACATGTATTTATTCAAATGTCTTTTAAACAGTGCGACTGTACCTGCATCCACCACCTCCTCTGAAAGTTGGTTCCATACATGAACCACTGTAAAAAAAAAATTGTCCCTCATGTCTTTTTTTCATATGTCTTTCTCCTCTCACCTTACACATATGTCCCCTTGTCTTGAAATCCCCCAACCTAGGGAAAAAAACCCTTGCTATTCACATATTCTGTGCACCTCATGATTTTATAAACCTCTGTTAGGTCACCCCTTAACCTCCGATGCTCCAGTGAGAAAAGTCCTAGCTTTGGCAGTCTATTTTGATAATCAAACCCTCCATTCCTGGCAACATCCCAGCAAGTCTTTTCTGAACTGTCTCCAGTTTAATGATAATATCCTTCCTGTAACAGGGCGACCAGAACTGCACACAATACCTCAAATGAAGCCTCACCAACGTCCTGTACAACCTCAACATAACATCCCAACTCCTGTACTCAAAGGTCTGAGCAATGAAGGCAAGTGTGCTAAACAACTTATTAACCACCCTGTCTACCTGTCTACATAAACTTCGAAGAATTATGTACCTGAATCTCAGCATTTCTCTGTTCCACAACACTACCCAGGGTGCAACCATCAATTGTGCAAGTCCTACCCTTGTTCATTTTACCAAAATACAATATCTCGCATTTATTCAAATTGAACTTCATCTTCCACTCCTCAACCCATTGACCCAATTGATCAAGATCTCGCTGTCATCTTAGATAACCTTCACTAACCACTATACCACCAATTCTAGTATCATCTGCAAACTTACTAATCTTGTCCCTTAAATTCTCATCCAAATCATTAACATAAATGAGAAACAAAAGTGGACCCTATACCGATTGCTGTGGAACACCGCTGGTCACAGAACTCCACTCTGAAAAATCCTCCAGCATCATGCTCTCTTCCACAACTAAGCCAATTTTGTTTCCAATTAGCAAGCTCTTCCTGAATCACATGTGATCTAACTTTACTAGTTAGTCTACCATATGGAACCCTGTCAAAGGCTTTACTCTCACTCTCGAGGTGCTGCAGATCTAACCCAATTCCCCTGCCATTTGTCCACGGCCCTCTTAATCATTCCTTGAAAAGTTAAAATCCCAAATCTCTTTTGAGAATAACTGCTGAATCTGCATCCAGCTGCCATTCAGACTGTTCCAAATCCTGGGATCTTGCTGAGTCAAGTAATCTTCACATTTTCACCCTGCATTATTTGCCAATTATCTGAATGTTGTATCCTGCGGTTACCAAACGTTGCCACAATGTTAATAATTTTTCTTTCTCTGCAAACTACTATCCTGGAAACAAATCTACTACTCGACTAAATCATTGCTAATCAGCCCCAAGGAGAATTATCTGAGCTTCTGCTAGCTCTCTCCAAACCAGAAACCCATCATAATTTTAATTTACTTATGGGATGTGGTCTTTGCTGCCCAGACTAATATTGATTGCCCATTTTTATTTGATTTGGAGGAAGTGGTGGTGAACTCCATGTGCTGTAAGTACACCACTGTGCTGTTTAGACGATAATCCACCCTGGAGCCTCACCACCCTTCCTATCGCAGGAATCATACCTCAAACCTCACTACCCTCCCTATTATGAGAATGACCCTTGAGCCTCACTACCTGCACTATTGCAGGCATCACCCTCGAGCCTCACCACCCTCCACATCGCTGGAATCCGTCTCCAGATTCACGACCTGCCTGTTGTTGGAATCTCCCCCTAGCCTCAGAACTCTCACCATCTGTCCATATTTAGATTCCCCCAGTCTCACAAACCGCCTTATCTCTGTAATCTCCTCCAGCCTCAACACCCTCCTATCTCTGTAAATTCCTCCAGCCCATATAAACTTCCTTAGCTCTGTAATTGTCTTTACCCTCACAAAGCTCCCTTTGTTTGAAATCCAATCCAGCCTCACAATCCTCACCATTTCTGTAACCTCCTCCAACCTCACACTTTTCCCTATTTTAGTAATCTTCTCCACTCTCAGAACCCTTCCTGTCTCTAATATCCTCCAGCCTCACAAATCTCAATGATGTGCTTTCCTCTAATACAATGCTTATGATGATACCCCATTTTTACTCCTCCACTTGATGGCGGCACTTTCAATTTCCTGGGCTTCAAGCTCCAGAATATCCTGGTAAACCGCTTCATCTCTATACCTCACTTTTCTCCTGAAAACATTGACCAATCATGAGTCATTTATTCTAATATCTCCTTTTCTGAACTGGCTTGAAATATTGCTTGGCATCTTCCTATGTGAAGTGTCTCGGAGGTCTGCAGTACAAAAAAAGGCTCTGTGGCCCATCCAGCCTGTGCCGGTTAAAAACCACCACCTAACTATTCTAATCTAAATTTCCAGCACTTGGCCCATAGACTTGTCTGCGGTGGCATCACAAGTGTGCATCTAAATATGTCTTAAATGTTATGAGGATCTCTGTGTCCACCACCTTACAGACAGTGAGGTTCAGAGCAATTGTCACAGCATGATAACATCACAGACAGCAACAGAGACGAGCTGAGTCTGTGCAAACCAAAGATCAACCACACATTGTGAAGGATGGGAGGGTCCCTGATAGGGGGCAGAGGAGATTTAACAGAATGATTTGTAGGAAGAGGGTTTTTAGTTGCATGGTTAGGGCTGTTTTTGACATTATTCTTTCATGTGACTTGGGCGTTGCTGGTACATATCGAGAATATCCATCTACAATAGATGGACTCTCCTTTCCAACCTTTCCCCTCGCCTGGGGTGTGGTAATCTTCAGGTTAAACCAGCCCTATGGTCAGGTAGGACAATGGTGACTTTACCTTTGGCACAGTGATGCTACTGTGCCTTAGTGGTGAAGAGGGGCATGTTGAATGTGGTGGATGGGACACCACTCTGACACAGTGCTTCATCTGGAGGATGTTCAGTTTCTTTAATATTGTTGGGGCTGCACTGATGCGGGTAAGTGGAAAATGTTCCAACACAATCCGGATGAGTGCCTTATAGACAGCAAACAGTCATTGGGGAATCAGGTGTTTGGGGAAACTGAGATTGTTCTCCTTGTAAGAAAGGAATTTGAGGGGACCTTTGATAGAGGTGTTTACAAAAGATATACATATGGATGATAAAACGTATACTCATCAACTGATCATAAAAAAGGATTACAGGACACATATTGAAAGTTTTAGGGAAGATCTATTGAGAGAATGGGGTGATTTAAGAGAGAAATTTTACACGGCAAATGGGAATGAGCAGGAACACAATACTCACACACAATGCGAATATCCAGGTCCTGATGAACTGAGTAATTCTGTCAGAGTTTGGTGTTACAATTATTGAGATTCCCACCTGAAAGTCCACTTGTAATATCCTGTAACACAAATTCATAAAATCCATAACTGTCAGTCCAGGGTAGAAATTCACAACATCTCCTCCTCCTGGCCGAGGATAACTGTGCATTGTCCCTGCTACACATTATCCCTGCTACACATTATCCCTTGTGGAGGTCAGCAGTGAATTCAGGGGGAAAACTATTTGGGTTTCTGGGAGTTTCCACCTTGGGACTTCATGTCACTGAACAGATCAGCAGGTCTTTGACACATGGCAAAGAATGGCCAAGAGTTAGTGAGATGCAGACAGCAGGATTCGTTTCCTTTTCTTTCCTTCCGTGCTGCTGCACTGCCACAATGAGACATTGGGCCGGAAAAGCTAACGCAGCTTGATGGATAAGTTGTCTCGATTCTGAACAATGGACAGTAAGCTTCTCCCAGTCATTCGAAAGAATGCCCATTAAAAAGGTAGCAATTACATATATGTCGTGTTGCCCAGTGTTCCCAACGAAAAGATTAGAAGAATGAGGGAGGATTTCATAAAAAAGGGATAACAGTCAAGTTTCATGAGGGTTACAGTTTATGGAGAGAAATTGATAAATGGGCGACAAGTTGGCAAATGGAGTATAATGCGGGAAAATGTGAAGTTGTTCATTTTTGAGGAGACAACCAAAGAACACAGTGTTATTGAAAAGGTAAAAACTGTGGAAAACTGCAACACAAAGGGACTCAGGAATAATTGTGCAGGAAACACGAAGCGAGCATACAGTTGCAACAGGTAATCAGGAAGGGTAATGGGAAGTTATCCCTTATGTCAAGGTGTTTGCAGTATAAGAGTTTGGAATATATGTCTTAGGACAAATGTACAAATTGCTCTTAAGACCACATCTGGAGGAATGTAAGCAGCTTTTTTGGTCCACTTATTCAAGCAAATATATCACTTCATTGGAGGCACTTCAGAGAAGATGAACTAGGATGATCATTGGTTTGGAGGGGTTATCTTTTAAGCTAAGACTAAACAGGTTTAGAACCTACTAACTAGATTTTTGAAGAATGAGAGATGATCTAATTAAAAATATAGAATTCTTAAGGGAGTTGACAGGATAAATGCTGAGGGGATATTTCCCATCGTGGGAGCAGATTCTTGATAAGGCGGAGAATACAGCGTTCTCTTTTGGAATCGTCATGGTTAAGGCAACACAGACATGGGTAAGAGGTTTCAGTCGCAAATGAGCTGGAGTGAGGTGGAGAGAAGGAGCATTTTAGAGATTGAAGTTTCTGGCATTTGTGATTGAGAAGATGTATGGTAAGATGTTCATCTTGAGGCCAGATATGACAGCATTATTGAGAAGAGTGCAGTTCAGCCTTAGACAGTTCCCAGCGAGAGGGATGGATTCAGTACAGTAGTAAGGAAAAGTAATTTGTAATAACAACTGAAGGCAATGGGTCTAACTATTACAAAGTGTTTTTGGAGGAAATTTCAGCTAATCAAGTAGTGGAAGCATGCTAAGCAGTTTTATAATTGAGTAACAGTGGGGCAAAGGAGAGTGATGGAGGGGAGTTAGATCTGAACATTGTAGTATACGTGTGAAACCTAACACGGTGCTTGTGGAAGATCTCACCTCCTGGCAGTATGTTGGCGAGAAATAGGATGGGCCAAGGATAGATCCTTGAGGGACATCGACTACATGGATTTCAGACAGGAAAGAGAGAGTGGAGATGGAGTGGGATTTTCCAATGACGGTGAGGTCAAATATTGGTTTTAAACAGAATGGGTAAGAAGGACATAACCAGAAAAGAGAAACAGACAGAACAAGTAACAATATCTGTGAATTGGCATGGGGGAGAGGCAAGGAGGAGGAGGAGAAATAAGACAGAGTTAGAATGTTTGTAGTTTAGCGAGAATAGGGCAAAGGGTTAAGATGAGCTCTGATAAGGCTTGACACGAGACTGGAGAAAGATGCAAGTTTAGGACTAAAACGAGGAGCAACATGCAAGGCAATTTGATTTGGTGGGCTAGTGGAAGAGAGGGAAGCAGCAGAGACAGCTGATTGGATTGTCTCAATCTTAGTGACATAGAAACTCCATGTGTCTCCCTCACTTGTTGTTGGAGGGGAGGATGGAAAAGACAGGATGATGGACGTGTTTTGCAAAGAAACAATGCCTGTGTTAGTTACATTTAAAAATGAGTGAACAAACCTGATGTACTTAACTTTTATCCAGAATATTAAAATGTACAACAGAAGTTGGGGTTCGAATTCCATGTCAGCAGATGGTGGAATTTGAATTCAATAAAAAATAACTGGAATTAAGAATCAACTGGTTGCCATGGAACCATTGCTAATGGCAGAAAAAAAATCTAATGTCCTTCAGGGAAAGAAATTGGCCAACCTCAGCAAGCCACTCAGTTGCAAATCACTGCAAAGTCTCAACAAAGGAATGAAACTGGGTGGACCACTTGGCATCTACCAAGGCACTAGGAAAGACAACTGCAGAATCAGCCCTATCGACCCCGCAAACTCCTCCTTACTAATATCTGGGGGCCAGTGGCAAAACTTGGAGAGCTGACTCAAAGACTAGTCAAGAAACAGCGTCATATGCATGGAATCATACCTTACAGACAATGACACACGTCACTATCACTGTCCTTTGATAAGTCCTGTCCCACGAGCAGGACAGACCCGGCAGACGTGGCAACACAGTGGTATTTTGACCAGATTGATTTGACCTGAGAGTACTCGACACTGACTCTGACGCCTAGGAGTCTCATGGCTCCTGCTGATTACCATGTACCATCCTCCCTCGGTTGATAAATCGGCAGCAGTATTATTGCTGGATTATTAATCCAGAGACCCAGCTAACGTTCTGGGGACTTGGGTTCGAATCCTGCCATGGTAGATGGTGAAATTTGAATTAAATAATGATCTGGAATTAAGAGTCTAATGATGACCATGAAACCATTGCCAATTATCAGGAAAGACCGATCTGGTTCACTGATGTCCTTTTGGGAAGGAAATCTGCCATCCTTACTTGGTCTGGACTACATGTGACTCCAAACCTACAGCAATGTGGTTGACTCTTAACTGCCTTCTGGGCAATTAGGGATGGGCAATAAACGCTGGCAAAGCCAGCGATTTCCACATCCCAAGAGTGAATTTTAATTAAAAAAAAACTCCTCCATGTTGAACAGCACTTGGAGGAAGCACTGAGAGTGTAAATGGCACCAAATGTACTCAATGTCCACCATCAGGAGTAGTTTGCAGCAGGATTACCAATCAAGCTGGTTAGGTCCTAAAGGACAAAGCTGCCTGGCTGGGACTGCAGCAGGTGGTGACGCAACCAACAAAAGGGAAAAACATAGCTGATCTCATTGTCACGAATTTCTCAGCTGCAGATGCATCTGTCCTTGACAGGATTGATAACAGCGACCACCGCACAGTCCTGTGGAGACAAAGCCTCATCTTAAACTGGAGAATACCCTCCATTGTGTTGAGCGGCACTAACATCGGCTAAATGGGACAGACTTGGAACAGATATAGGAACTCAAAACCAGATATCTATGAGGCTTTGTGGGACATCAACAGCAGCAGAACTTACTCCAGCACAATCTGTAACCTCATGGCCCAGCATATCCTGCACTCAACCATTACCATTGATCCAGGGGATCAACACTGGTTGAATGGATAGTATAGGAGGGCATGCCAAGAACAGCACCAGGTATACCTAAAACTAAGGTGCCAACCTGGTAAAACTACCAAACAGGACTATCTGCATGCCAAATAGCATAAGCAGCAAGAGTTAGAGCTAAGCCACCCCATAACCAATAGATCAGATCTAAGCTCTGCAGTTCTGCCACACCCAGTCGTGAATGCTGATGGACAATTAAACAACTCACTGGAGGAAGCATGCCAAAAATCCCCATCCTTACTGACAGAGGAGCCCAACCTATCCATGCAAAAGATAAGACTGCAGAATTTGCAACAATCTTCAGCCAGAAGTGCCAATTGGATGATCCATCTCAGCCTTCTTCAGAGGTCCCCAACATCACAGATGAAAGTTTTCATCCAATCTGATTCATTTCAAATAATATTAATAAATGGATGAATAGTGCAAAGGTTATGGGTCCTGGCAATAGTACCGATGACTTGTGCTCGAGATCTTGCTACCCGCCAAGCCAAACTGTTTCAGTACTGTTACAGCACCAACATCTACCGACAATTTGGAACATTGCCCAGGTCTGTTGAGCACAAAAACACAGAGCAAATCCAACCTGACCAATCTCCCCTCAAGCAGTCTACACTCTATCATCAGTAAGGTGCTGGAAGGTGTCGTCAACAGCGCTATTAAGCAGCACTTACTCAGCAGTAACCTGCTCAGTGACACCCAGTTTGGGTTCCGCCGGACACTCAGTTCCTGATCTTATTACAGACTTGATCCACAAATTCACAAACAGCTGAATTCCTGAGGTGAGGTGAGGGTAACTGCAGAGTCCTGCACCAAAACCACTTATTTCCACTTCAGTGACAATGACCTGACTCCACCTTAGTTTCAGCTCATCTGCTGAACCTCTCATCCATTCCTGTGTTACCTCTCGACTTAACTATCCAAACACACTCCCAGTCGGCCTCTCACATTCAACGTCCCTGTAATCTCAAGAATATCTAAAATTCTGCTGCACACATGTTCATTTGTACCAAAACCTGTTCACCCATCACTGTTGTGCTCCCTGACCCATAAAGGCTCCTATCTATAAGCAACAACAATTTAAAATTCTCACTCTTGATTCAATTCCTGGCTGTGATGATCCCTATCTCCCTGCACCACACAACCTTCGAGACTCCAACAATGCATTTAATCATTGCTTCACAATTGGAGGCTGTTTCTACAGTTGCCAGGCAACATGGTCTGGAATTCCCATGATAAACCTCTCAGGTTTGCTTTCCTTCTTCAAGATATTCATGAAAACCTGCGTATTTGGTAATGCTTTTGGTCACCTGACCTGATATTTATATCTATGGCCTTACATCAAAAGTTCCTTGATAACATTTTTGTGAAATTATAAACATGATAAAAATAAAAATTACACCATACACCATCAGCTCTTCAGTATCGCTAGATGAATGATCTGTAACTTTTCAAATAACCGCATTGTGGGAGCACCTTCATCATACAAACTGCAGCAGCACAAGAAAGTCAAACATCACCTTTTCCACAGGCAACAGGGCTTTGGCAACGATCGCTGGTATCTGTGGAAGGAGAAACAGAGTAAATGTTGCAGAAGTGCAAAATGAATGACATGGAATAAAAATGCTGTAGAATTTGATGGTCTGAAATGGAAGGGAAATGCACTCTCTTTCTCAGAAAATATTTCCTGACTGTGAAAGATACCATTCAAAAATTAATCTCGTAAGAGAGCAGCACATGGTCAGGTGGTGGGCAGCAGTGGAAAATTCATTTACAAAAGGTCTATGAAAGTAACAGTAAAATACAAAACAGAGATCAAATATATCCACCATTACAGACTGAAGAGATTAGATACCGACAAAGAGGTGATCAGGGAGCACAGAAGTGAGTAAGAGCAGTGCTCGCTGCTATGATCCCACACTCTGGGAAAGAAATCCAGAAGAAACAAACATTTCTCTTGGTTTGAATTTGCTCTATGTAAATCCTCTCCGATCACTTTCATTTCTGAAGAATGGTCCAGACTCGAAAGGTCAGCTTTCCTGCTCCTCTGATGCTGACTGGCCTGCTGTGTTCCTGCAGCTCCACACCTTGTTATCTCACTTTCAACCAGAGACGGCTGCGCATGCGACCAGCTTCACCTTAGCCCTTTCAAAGTTTTAAAGCTACCGCGCATGTGCCCCGCGGATCATTGCCCCCAATAAAGATGGTGGCGGTCACACAGGCCTATCGCCATCTGAGGCGTTGATTTGTTTTCTGCAAACATGAGTCTGGGAGTTTCAAATGTGTGTTTTCCGACGTGCACTAAGTGTCTGTAAAACTTCCAAGCCCGTACGAATATCACTTCCCTCCCACTTTCTGCCGTTTTTCTTTCTTTCTTTACCGTGTCCTGCTCTTACCTCAATTGCACAAATCTCGGTCTCAGCGACTCTGCACTGCGCGCGTGGATGATCACGTGGTTTACACTGGTCCCGCCCCTTCACTCCGATTGGTTAGAAGGGATCCTACTTCCACCCGGAATGCCACGGCGGCCCTGTGCTCCTATTGGTCCCGAACTGACATCAATCACTCAGACTCCATTGTGAGCTGGAG